GGATCTGGGATTGTCTCTGTCTGGCACCAGAGATCTTCCACTGTTAATAAGGGCAAGGAACAACCCATCCTTTAAATGTTTATATACTATTAATGTATGATCAAACAAACGCTTACTGAAAAATCAATGTGGTGTTTTCTAAAGTCAAGCTGCCAACACATCTTCCTATAGCCAGGAAATCCAGATTGGGCTGTTTTCTAGTGTAATGCTGACTTTTTTTTATTTAAGTAAGTTAAGAAATGGGTATTATAAATTCAAAGTGAGAATTAAAAGGCAGGGCAGGTACAGATAAAAACCGGCAGATGAATCCAGACACTTCAGTTTTATAACAGGTAGAGAGTGAAGATGTATAAAGGGGAATGGAACCCCTAAAAATAATTACTTCAGGTTATAAATCACAACATAACCCTGTTGGTGGTTTAGCCTCATGATAGCACTTCTCTACAGGAGGGCTCGGCTCAATTCTTGGGGTCTGATTCTCTGATGCCCTGCATCTTGCAAAGTCACCAGTGCAAAGTAGCTGTAAAATACTAAATCAGAAAAGCACATTTTCACATTGGTGCAAATAGCTGCACAAGGTGCAGGGTAATGGGGAACAGGGTCCAGGGTTTCCTTTTCCCTGGGGTAAAAAGGAGTGACAGTGTCATGGTGATAGCATGCTCAGCCCATATAGGCCTTTTCCAGTAGCCCTTCCATAAGCAGGACTCCCAATAGCATCAAACCAATCCTACAGCTATAAGGGCTTGTCTTCTTGGCTGCTGAAATCAATGCAGCGGGTGTCGATTTAGCGGGTCTAGTGAAGACGCTCTGCCATCAATTTTAGCGGGTTCTCCGGTCGACCCCAGATACTCCACCTCTCTAAGGGTAGGTCTACACTTACCTCCAGTCTGGTGGTAAGCAATCGATCTTCTGGGATTGATTTATCGCATCTTGTCTAGACGCGATAAATCGATCCCGGAAGTGCTCGCCGTCGACGCCGGAACTCCAGCTCGGCGAGAGGAGTACAGGGAGTCGACGGGGGAGCCTGCCTGCCGCGTCTGGACCCGCGGTAAGTTCGAACTAAGGTACTTCGAATTCAGCTACGTTATTAACATAGCTGAATTTGCGTACCTTAGTTCAAAATGGGGGGTTAGTGTGGACCAGGCCTAAGAGGAGTAAGGTAAGTTGACCAGAGAGCGTCTCCCATCAACGCAGCACAGTGAAGACACCAGAGTAAGTCAACCTAAGCTACATCGACTCCAGCTACGTTATTCACGTAGCTGGAGTGGCGTAACTTAGGTCGACTTACCCCGGTAGTGAAGACAAGCCCTAAGACTGGGCGTAGAAAGGAGGACTAAGTGCTCAGCAGCAATCCTTCTAGCCAACCAGGAAGCTGTACTGATGGACTTTGATGAAATTTTGTCAGTTCCTCCATGGTTGCAAGGACCAAGGTTGTTCCTTATATGGACCTCTAAGGGTGGGAAAAGAGGACTGGGATGGAAAAAGTGGCGATGTTCATGTCTCTGCCTAAGACAAAGCAGCTATTCCACTGCTTCTGGGCCATTACTTCCTGTCTTTGCAATGCATACTTAAGGACGCCTTAATGTTCAAGATATATTACTGACACGATTCATAGGAAGAGAGTATCATATCACAACCTAGTTAGTGACTCTTTGATTCTGAGTTTTAGGATATGAACTCAACAATTTACACCAGCTGAGGACCTAGCACCTGGATCCAATTCATTCATTCATCAGAAAGCTACTGCAAGAAACCAACTTATGAAGAAGTTATAAGTAGTTGACATGTCAGCCACACCAGCTGTCTTTTGAATGTCAACAACTACAATACCTGGAACTGCTTTCTACTTTTCCCTTTTTCATTTTAATCTTTGCTAAAGTTAACAATGACTGTTTGGTTTGTTTTTTTTAAAAAAAAGCACTTTCCTTTTTTGCTGCACTAAAATCTTCAGAGATGCATCTATTGGAACATGGCCCTTGAGAATACTCAATGGCCAGTGATAAATCACTCTCGGAATGCATTCCCACAATATATGTACCCTGAGGGCCTAATTTTGTCCATGCCAAAAGCATGTACATCCACAGGACCAAGGGAGAAATGCAGAGCTGCCTGGGAGCATGCCAAGCTTACACAAAGGGTAAAGGCCTTTCCACATTCAGTACCACTCTGCACATCAATAGTGAGACTAATGTGCAGCTCATATTCTTGTGGCTACATAAGTTAGAAAAGGGGCAGACACCCACTGGAAGCAAGGCATGGTCAACCCGAGAAAATGCACATTCTCATCTTCTAGAAATGGCTGCGTGGGATGTCCAGCAAGTCTCTCAAGCTATTCCAACCTAAGAACAACTATCTCTACACAGCAAGATTTTATTGCAAATATCCAGGCCATGCCAGCACACCCAAATGACCCTGCAGGATGCACCTAAGGATGCAGAACAGACTGACACCAGTTCAAACTGGCAAGGAACTCTCTCAGAAGAGACAGGATTCCTAGCCACTTGACTAGCAGGGGAGGGCAGAGTAGGGGTCATGTCCAAACAAACACCATTAAGAAATCAGTCCTTTTCAAGGCAGTGCTAGTCCCACACACACAGGTTCACCATTACACCCACAGCTCCACATGTCTACAGTCTATCTGCAGTGCTCATCAGACTTACATCTGTGGAAACAACTACATCCAAGAAGGAAACTAAAAAGGGTCAGCACAGACAAAGGTGGAGGCTACCCACAGGGACCAAAACACTTTGTCCAGCACCCTCTTGCTGAAGAAAGTGGAGATAAAGATGGAGGAAATGGCATGTGACACATTACTACAGAACAATGCTGCATCCAATGAACCAGCCTAGGTGTTGTGCATAGATTTAATTCAGTGGAATAGGTGGGGGGGGGGGGGGAAAACCCCACCTATGTTTGATCTCCTCCACCAACTTTCACTGTTCTCTAAATAGCACTATACTGAAGTGTACTATATCATAGAATATCAAGGTTGGAACAGACCTCAGGAGGTCATCTAGTCCAACCCCCTGCTCAAAGCAGGGCCAATCCCCAACTAAATCATCCCAGCCAGGGCTTTGTCAAGCCGGGCCTTAAAAACCTCTAAGGAAGGAGATTCCACCACTTCCATAGGTAACCCATTCCAGTGCTTCACCACCCTCCTAGTGAAAAAGTTTTTCCTAATATCCAACCTAAACCTCCACAACTGCAACTTGAGACCATTACTCCTTGTTCCGTCATCTGGTACCACTGAGAACAGTCTAAATCCAACCTCTTTGGAACCTCCCTTCAGGTTGAAAGCAGCTATCAAATCCCCCCTCATTCTTCTCTTCTGCAGACTAAATAGTCCCAGTTCCCTGATATATGTATCATCAGTACCTGTTATTCTCATAGATGCAGTGTTATTTCCACAGATCTTATTCGTATCTTTCAGTGCTCTAACTCCTGACTTTCTGACCTTAGTTATATTGGGGTAGCTCTGGATTTTCACAGATTTGCTCTGGATTTACATCAGCATATCAGAGCAGAATCTGACCCTCTGTGCTTAATAACTAACTTTCCTTCCTCCAGAGTAGCCTGAAACACATACAGTCAATGGGGGGGGGGGAACAGAATTGGTGAAACAGAGCCATGGGTGATAGTGGTGAGTAAAGACAATGAGTGGAGTGGGACCCCAGCTTTACAGACATGCATAGAGATCAGACTGACCTAAAAATCACAGATCTGAGTGCCCAGCTCCTGCAAACTCTGTGAAAGTTTGGATCTAGAAACAAAAACTTTGTTCCTTAGGGCCATTTCTAGAAGTGAGTTTGCAATGCGACGCCAGCAAAAACAGCCAATTCAAATTGCGGCCACAAGTCACAGATAATAGTCCCTTTCTGTAAAGTTCTGATGCGACTCCACCTATAATATAGCGTTGTGTACAGAGCACAGCATTCTGTGAAAGACTTTGACAAATAGGAGGCAGTTCAGAGAAGAGCAACACCAGAGACTGAGGAAAGATTAAAAGAACTAAATATGTATTGCGTGGCTCAGAGATGACAAAAGGGGGAAACACGATAACAGTCTATAAATATTTGAAGAGTATAAACATCAAGGAGGAAGAGGAATTGTTTAGGGTGTGACACAGACCGCGCAAATAATCTAATAAAATTAAGAACAGGAAAATTTAACTCTCAGATAGTGAGGCTGTGAAATACTCTTCCTCAGGGAGGTGTGAAAGCCCCATTGTTTAGGGCATTTAAATTCTGACCTAGCCAAAATACAAGAAAGTGTACACTAGGGAACAATCCTGCATCAGCAGGAAGACGGACAGGATGGCTAATAGGTCTTTTCCATCTGCTCCTTCTATGATACTATGACTAACAGCTGCCAGCCCAGCACCTCACTTAATAGTGGACAAGCATCTTCCTCATTGACTGGTAAATGCCTGTGGTGTAAATACGTAACTGCTTGCCCCACACCCAGAAATCTGCTACTCCCTCCACTTGTTTGGAGCTGACAGTTCCAAATCAGGTTCCAGGCCTCAGGGTATGTCTATACTACCCGCCGGATCGGCGGGCAGCAATCTATACTAGACGCAATAAATCAACCCCCGAGCGCTCTCCTGTCAACTCCTGTACTCCACCTCCACGAGAGGTGCAGGCAGAGTCGACGGGGGAGCAACAGCAGTTGACACACCGCAATGAAGACACAGCAGCGAATAGGTCTAAGTACGTCGACTTCAGCTACGTTATTCACATAGCTGAAGTTGCGTAACTTAGATCGATCCCCTCCCCCATGTAGACCAGGCCTCAGTATCCCATGTGACACTGTATCAGTCAATCAGTCTAAAAGTTCTTTTAAATTGATCATTTTTGTGTTCTGAAATCATCTGCTGTCCACATAGCTGGATGGTGCTTCCACAGGTGTACAGACAGATCAAAGACATACAGCTTAAATTGCTTCCTTCCCAAATAGTGAATTATGCATTTTAATAAAAACTTTTCACTGCTTTTTCTCACCTCCATCCTGAAATTTGCTTAGTCTTTCGAAGTATGACGACATAGGACCCTGAACAATATCTAGAATAGCCAGCAGTGTCCTGGTCAGTCTGAGCAGCTCACTAAAACTATAGAAGCCAAAGTATATGAGATTTCGAGCCAGATGCACCACCTGCAGGAAAAGAAAAACCATCATGATGAAGACAACCTCTACAACATTAGTGGTGTTGAACTGTACAATACAGTTATATTTTGTCCTGTCCTTTTGTCTTTCACACAGACTATCAGCCTGATTCAAGGCCCAATGAATTCAATGGGAGTCTTTCCATTGATGGGCTCAGGACCAGGCCCCTAATTGTCAAATGCTTTTCAGAGTTAGATAATGCAATTACTTGGTTAAATGAAAGCAGGAGAGAAAACAGCATGAGGTTTAGGCAGAGCTGGGGGGGAGATATAGTTCCATCTGAGAAAAGAAATGAGAAGGAAAGTCTATGAGGCAGAGAGATGCCAGAAGGCTGTTCCAGATGGCAACAGCTGCAGCGAAGAAGCATCTTGAAACAGCAGTCAGACTGTGGTAAGGTAAATGTAGAGTGAAGGCAGTGCTGCATGGACAGAGGTAGTTTAAGCTAGGGCTGCTGTAAGTGTCCTTTAATTTGATTCTAGAAGACTCAATCCTACGTAACCTTTCTTCGGTCAGGTGTGCTAGACAGTAATAAAGGACAGGATTATGTGGTGCAATACATGTCCTTTATCATCACATCCGACACAGAATACAGCACCTTTCACCCAGTAGCGTAGCTAGCGGGGTGCAGAGGAAGCAGCCGCTTTCCCTCAGCATACTTTGCAAAAGCGGTGCCTTTCCAAAAGCGGCCGGAGGAGCAGGGGTGCGCAGGCTGGCTGCGGGCTGCAGCCGTGGCCAGAGGAGCAAGGGGGGGCATGGCAGGGCCAGAGGAGCCATGGGGGGGGGAGAGGGGCAGTGCGGGCGGAGGAGCCAGCCAAGGGGGGGAGGGGGGGCGTGGAGCGGCCGGAGGAGGAGCCAGGGGGCGTGGCCGGAGGAGGGGCCAAGGGGGGCGCTTTTTTAGGTTTGCTCCCCCTCCTCTTAGAAGCTGGCTACGCGATTGCTTTCACCCCAAGGATCTCAAACCTCTTAACTAACACAGAGTGTATGTATACACCTCTCCCACACACAAATCACTTCATTTGCTACTGAAATGCAGCCACCTCTGGTGTGGTGAGGAACTGCAGCTGTTTAACAGCACACAGCAACACTACAGTATAAAAACAAAAGTGGGAAGCAAAAAGAGTGGAATTAAGGAAGTGGGTATTAAGTGGGTATTAAAGAACATTCTACAGTAGAACCTCAGAGTTATGAATCAACCACACATCTCATTTGGAACTGGAAGCATGCTGGAAAGTTTTTTTAAAAAGATTTGACAAGATAAGGAAACAATTTCTGTGCTTGTTTCATTTAAATCAGGGGTTCTCAAACTGGGGGTCAGGCCCCCTCGGGGGGGTCACGAGGTTGTTACATGGGGGGTCATGACCTGTCAGCCTCCACCCCAAACCCCGCTTTGCCTCTAGCATTTATAATGGTATTAAAAATTAAAAACACTTTTTTATATATTTAAGGGGGGGGGGTCACATTCAGCAGTTTGCTATGTGAAAGGGGTCACCAGTACACAAGTTTGAGAACCACTGATTTAAATTAAGATGGTTAAAAACAGCATTTTTCTTCTGCATAGTAATGTTTCAGGGTTGCATTAAATCAATTTTCAGTTGTAAACCTTTGAAAGAGCAACCATAATGTTTTGTTCAGAGTTACAAACATTTCAGAGTTACGAACAACCTCCATTCCTGAGGTGTTCATAACTCAGGAGGTTCTATTCGCAGTGGTTCTCAAACTTTTGTATCGGTGACCCCTTTCACATAGCAAGCCTCTGAGCATGCCTTCCACCCCTTATAAATTAAAAACACATTTTTATATATTTAACACCATTATAAATGCTGGAGGCAAAGCAGGGTTTGAGGTGGAGTCTGACAGATCACGACCTCCCTATATAATAACCTCGCGACCCTCTGAGGGGTCCAAACCCCTGTTCTACTGTATAATCAAATATGTTCTTAAACTTTTCTTTTCAAAAGAAAACCTGGTTAATACAGCTAACAGTTATGCTCTACTGCTTCATTGTTTGATTCAAGGGGTACAATACATTGTGACAAAGCTAACTGAAAAGTACCTCAAATGTAAGTTTGTTTTTCTCTTTGTCCCCAAAAGGAAATGGCTGATTTACAACTTCTTTCAAGTACTCTTCTACAAATTCCATGGTCAAAGCAAATTTCCTCTTCATGTCATTTCTCGAGGAGTCTGTGAAAGAATCATACCTACTAGGCAAAACAGAGAGAAGCAAAATTAACCTCTTCCATGGATACGATGAGCTGTAATGTAAAAAATAACCAAATCCCCCAACTATTCATGACGCTTTAACCTTATTTTAAGTTCTTTTGTACAGAAAAGAGCTAGATTGCAGTTAGTCCTGCTTGTGTGCACCAGGGTGGCAGGCAAAGGATGCAAACAACAGGCTAGGGGATTCAACACCAGTGGTGATAGTAGAAAAGATGGTAAGAAGTTAAGTCTATGATCAACTCCCCTTTTTGCACAATCCACCTTCCCTTCCCCCCCCCCAAAAAAAAGAAATGAGCTGGTAAGGAGGGGGAGCAGACACTGCACCCTGTGAAAGAATGCAGCAGTATTTGCTGCACTGTGGCTCGTGCCCCCCAGAACTACTATGCCTGTCTCATACACAAAGGCCCCAGTGCATCAAAGCAATCAAGCAGGTGAGAGTTCCCATTGAAGTCAATGGAGCTCCTCCCATACTTAAAATGAAGCATGTGCTTAAGCGCTTTCCTGGATTGAGGCTACTGCCTCTGAACTGCTTCAACTGACTGTAGGTTGTGGCTTTAAAGCCACAATAAAGCTCTAATTGTAAAACTAAGGTTCAGCCTAGTGAGGGTGTAATATTTAACTGAATGTAATGGCTTCACGCTTTGTAGTTCCCAGGAAAAGGCCATTCCATCTCCCTTATCATAATGCATTTTAAAAAACGCACTTACAAATAAAGTGACCCTTTTAAATCTCTAGGGTTAATAGTGCCTAATGGTTTGTGTTCTGCAGCAAAATATCTGTTCACGTGTGTTGCATTAAAATTACAGCCACTTACAATTTTACTCTGAGTAGGTTTGAGCCATTTAAAATGCTTTGGGGTGTTTTGTTTTGTTTTGTTTTAAACTTACTCATGGATTGTGATCTTGGTAGGAATTTCAGTCCACAGTCTGGCATATCTAACGGGTACTACGGACTCCTGAGGATCTCTGTCAACATGCATGTGCAGCATAAGACGGCAAAAAGAAGCCCGGAGGTCATAAGGGAGGCTTTCATCAGACATACATCGTAGGATCAAGTCTACTGAGAGCTGTGTTGAAATCTGGTTTATGGCTAGGTACTGACGATCCAGGCACATCCTTGCAAAGAGGTTTAATTGGTACCTTAAGGTAATAAAAATAAATGGTACACTTTCAGTAGTACCTTAGATTTCTTTGAATGGCACAGAGCAACATACCTGAGAATATACGCTCAGGAGTCTGATCTATGCCATTCCAATGTAACATAATGAAAATAATACAGCCCCTTTGTTAGCAAAGAAGCTGACTTGCCATTACAAACACTAGTATTAGGCACCTATCCCCATTGAATTTTATGCCCAACTCACACTGGAGTTCAAAGAAAGTCCCACACACAGAACAGCGGTTGTGGGATAAAACCCTTGAAGTATTCACTTTCAGTACATTTAAGATTTTATTTCATGCCCCTGCCTTCCAGTGGCGGGGACCGGGAAGTGCTGATGGTGCTCATTTCTCTGTGCTTCTGGACAACAGCTCAGAGCACACCTTGTCTACAAGAGTATACTAAAGTAGCTGTTGTGTAATCCCACTTGCTAGAAAAGGGAGGAGCCGAAACCACAGCATTTTGAGAGCACAGGGATGTATCACAAGCATTGAAGCCTCAACACTCTTTGGAAAATACTGAATAAATTGTGATTTTTTTTTTAAACAAACTTAGTTCCAGTTTCTGAACAGACCATAGATCTGACCTTGCTCCAATTTCACACAATGACAATTAATAAATATAATATAATATAATATAATATATGGAAATATACCTATCTCATAGAACTGGATGGGACCCTGAAAAGTCATCAAGCCCAGCCCAGCCCCGCCCCCTGCCTTCACTAGCAGG